CCCTTCCCCCCCCCCCCCAAATTCTTAAAACTAAACATAGGAAAGGAAACTGGTCCAAATCTTTATCAAAAGCAGAAAAAGGCCTCTTTTCCTCCCATCTTTGGCACGATACCTTTCAGTGAGTCACGACTTTTCCTTTCCAAAGGAGTAGTTGTTGTCTACCATACCCAAATCACAGTCGTCTGTGGGGAGAACAGATCACCAAGTCCAGTCTCCCAATGGAGCTCTACAGGACACTATGACTAGAGACAGAGATAACACGACACATCATGCAAGTGCCCAGAAGTGAAGAAAACGTGTTTTACTTGCCTCTCGGTCAAATCTGCCAGGTCTTCTCAGTGCTGGATCTAAAGCATCAGGCCTATTTGTTGCTGCCATAATGACCATCTTATTTTCCCCACCTATGCCATCCATAAGCGTTAGCAACTGAGCGACAACACGATTTTCAGGAGCGTTGTTTGCACTTCCTCCTCGTCTTGGGCACAAAGAGTCAATCTCGTCGATGAAGAGAAGAGTCGGGCCTTCACATGACATCTGTCTGCTTTGTGCAAAAACCGCTCGCAAATTCTCTTCGCTTTCTCCGGGCCTGGAGCCGCATACAGCTGGGCCACTGATGCAAAGCAGACAAGCGCCCACTTCCCTGGCAAGGGCCTTCACCAGAAGAGTCTTGCCCACCCCGGGCGGGCCCACCAGCAGCACGCCAGGGGGGGCCGAAAAGCCCAGCTTCTGGAAGGTCTGGGGGAAACGCAAAGGCCAGTCCACAATTTCTTTCAGCAACCTGCTCACGTCGTCCAGCCCAGCCACGCAAACCTTTTGGGTGGCCTGCGAGGAAGGCCGATACCGCTCTAGGGTGACTACTTCTTTCACGTGGATGCTCGTCTTGGCAGTGACAAGGCCGGCTTCCTCTGCTGGGGGATCTAGAGAAAGGACCTCCACGCAAACCACCGGGCAGACGGGGCTCGGGGCAGCCTCCACCACGTACCCCACAGCTACATACACGTTCCTCAGCAGCTCCCGGGCCACCTCCTGCAGCACCGCGGCCGGCGCGGCCCTCTTCAGCGCCAGGCTCTTCAGCACCACTTTCACTGAGACTCTTCGCAGGCGCTGCCCCGCCAGGAGCCGCAGGCAGCTGAGCCGCAGCGCCGCGGGCCCACCCCTTGACCAGCCGGTGGCGAAGCCCGGGGTGGCGCACTTGGGATCCAGCTGCAGGAAGCCGTCGGCCAGGTCGGCGCGGGGCCAGGCCGTGCACAGGCAGCAGCCTCCGGGGGCAGCGACGCTCAGCGGGGAGCCGATCCTGGCGCCCAGAGCGGACAGCGCGGCCGGGCCCAGCCTGCATCTCTGCGTTCCCTGGTCCCCGGGGTCTGGCGGGAGCAGCTTCAACACAGCCGACTCCATGGGGCTGCAGGCTCTCCCTGCTGAAGGCCTGCCAGGGAGGAAGGGGTCCGCTCCACGGGCAAGGAAGCCGAGCCCCGAAGGGCGGAGGAAAGCAGAGCCGCTGCTCGCCACTAGAACACCACGCCGGAAGTCACAGTCAGCGTGTTAGAAAGGGTCCCCTTCGCAGCTACTACGCAGGCGCATGCGGAATGCGCGTGCGCACTTGATCGCAAGTCGCGGGGGTGTTGTAGTTGGCTGGGTCACACTGCTGCCTGAGTGCCGGGTTCGCTGCCAGTGCCTGTGGCCCGGTCTCACAGACCGTCCCCGGTGCTGTTCCGACGGCCCGGCGCGGGCAGGGGGGTCAAGCTACTCGCTCAAGCAAGGCAGGTGCCCTGGTGTGCGGGTAGCCCCGCGTCGGGGCCTCTGGAGCAGTGCCCGTAGGTCGGAAGCCGCCGTGAGGAGCCCGGGGCTGTAGTGGGAAGAAGCTGCCGGTCAGAGCGGCCCCCCCGGGCTGGCAGGGTCGCCACCTCTGTTTGAATCTATTCCGGGAGGTTTCATTACATGACATAACGACATGGATGACTACATCAGGAAGGCAAATGCACAATACTGTTACATTTTAAAAACCCATTGGACTGCTGTATAAACGGGATTCAACATGCAGTTTTCGTTTAAATGAATGCCCTATCATTTATCTGCAGGGGGACTCCCAGTATCTCCTGGAGATTTGTACTAAATTCCTGGAGACTTCAGGGCAATCCTGGAGGGTCGGCAACCCTAAAGCTGAGGTTTCCGGCAGCCCTGGGGCTCTGCAGACTTCCTTCAAAAGGGAAGCAAGGACAAAGGAGTTCCTTGCAAAAAAAAAAAAAAAAAAAAAAGGAGTCCTGCCCTGGTCTGGCCCTTAACCCAAGGCTTCTGTGGGCTTTAGGTCACCACCCCTTCCTCAGCTAACTCTAACTTTAGCAATGCAGGGCAAGAGGTACTGGTTAGAGCAGAGGGGAGGAGGTGTAATGGCATCTGCCAAGTGTGCTGAGAACTGG